TCTACCATTTTGATTATTCATTCTTCTTTCTCAACTTCTTTTATTTTCTATAAACTTAGTTTTGTTACTTAAACAAACAAAAAACCAAACAAGTTACAATTTGTTAATAGCGATGATATTTTCTGCTGAAGTCTGTACTAGTTGATGCTTTTCTTATATAAACTATGTACACATGAAACCAGCTGAAGAGTGCAGTTCCAAGTTCTCTGTGGGAATGTGAATTCCCTGGATGGTTGACAACAGCATAATCTTAGTAAATACATAACCAGTTGTCAGTGAAGGAGCCATGGGCTGGCGCTAGATGCTTTAAGAATATTCTTGGAGTTAATTGCTGTCTTAACAACAGACCATTCTTCAAGGCCTACATTAGTATTTATTATTTTGTGAATTTCTTAAACATTCAGAGACAAATGCTTTTGTAATGTCTTTAGACATGAAATATATATAAAGGTACATTTATATACCTTTTTCATGTACCTTTTATACATGAAAAGGGTATATAAATGCCATAGGCTTTTTGAAAACACTTCTAGTTTTATTATGAATTATTTAAAATGAGGATATCTTGTACATATAAGTTAAGTCTCTATTACCCAAATTTCAAGCAGAAGAATGAGGAGTAACTATCGTTCATCTGAAGTTTCCCCAAATTCGACTACTCAGCCCTCTCCCCTCTAAGGTCTCTTGCTGATAGGGTGGAATATACAGAGGGACTACGCCAATTAGGAAATTACTGGGTTCATTTATTAATAACTAGTAGCATATATTGATTCCTCAGGTCAAGACTGCAGTAAAAACAGAACTGGCTAAGCCAGAGATGGATCTGCTAAGCACTTGAATTCAGCTTGTCCAGGCTGCCAGGCCTCTTAACTAACCTGGAAGAAGACAGAGAAGTGAGCAGAGGAGATGTCCAGGTGTTCCACAGGAGGCAGAAAGCTCACCCACTGCACACAGGAAGAGGACCTATAAGAAGTGATCGGTCTGGCTCTTTCCCTTAAGGCACAATAACTTTGTGCATTAGATAATGAGGGTTGATCCATTCATCATATACTTACTGAGACCCGACACAAAAAATAGGACACCTCATTTTCCTTCTAAAAGTTCATATGCTATAAGCTTCTTTCTTAAACTGTGTATTGCAAAAAACAGGTGCTCTATGCAGAAAAGATCTATAATTGAGAAAGTTTGAGAACTGCTGGGATGTCAACATATCAAACAGCTTGCTTTTGACAGGATTTCTTAGAGCATTTAATATGAAAATGACATTGTGATTCTCCAAGGGGAATAGAGAGTACAACGTTCCCCAGACTGAGGAAGTGACTAATGTTCCATTGGAACACACTTTAGGAAACATTGCCCTCATCTGTTCTCCCCCTTTTTCCAGCCATACAAGTCTCTTTGCTGGTCTTTGATTCTTCCAGGATTTCAGCCCAGAGCCTTTGTCCTCAATGTTATCCTGCCTGGGACATCTCCCCCAGAAATGCACTTCCCTGACCACTCTGTAGTGATTTTTTTTTTTTTTTAATTTCCCCTCCAACCTCTTGATCTCGCTTCCCCACTTCCTTTTTCTTCATAGTAATTATCACCTCCTAACGTACCATATATTTTATTTATTTATTTTGGTTATTATCTGTCTCTCCCTGGCGGAATGTGAGCTCCTGAGTTTTGCCTGTTTGTTCACTGCTGACTTCCCACAGCTTTCGGCCCTGAATACACGGCATTGCTGTCAGTGAGAAGAGAGCCAAGGCGCGTCACTATAAAATGCTAAACGACTGTGATCTCATTCTCATCTGTATTTCACATTGCCCCTCCTTCCTGGTTTTCAGAGATCTACACGTTTAATATCCGTTTATGGCTTAATTTAGAAAAAAAATTACTATTTAATTCAAAAACTTAAACCTTGCATTACCAAGATTCCACTTGTTTATAATGAAGAGGTTGGTGTGGAGGAAGAGAAAGTGGACCCGGCTCTAAAGTTACTTTTCACAGCTTGTGGGGTACCAGTCCAAAAAGGAAAGATACGCATACTGTATTCAGAGAAAAGCCTAAGAACAACTTTTAATTTTGATCCTAAGTTTATCTTTTCCCCCCAAATGGTCTCTCTTAGTATGAAGTCGTCACAGAAATATATCCTCATGTGGACTCTGGAAACCTGAAACCCTGTACTTCCTACCCTTCGTCTTCATTTCCCATTGTAAATGCTTGTTTACTAAGTTCTAGTCAAATGTAACTAAATTGTGTTCATTTATGCTTTATTCATGCATATCACAACAAAACTAACGTGTTATAAAAACTAACAAAAAGAAGAAAGAAGAAAATAATACCACACATTTTAGTTTCATCTCCCTCTGAAAAATAAACTTACCAAAATCTGTGTCTAACTTCTGTGATGTCCAGTTTCTGGGAAGCATTGGGTATGAATTTTAATCGACTGGGTGTGAATTTTACTTGTACTGGAATGAACTTTAAGCCCCTTTGTATTATGGAAGTTTCTAAACATACACAAAAATAGAATAATACAATAAATCCCATGTACCTCTCTACTAGCCTCAGCATTTATCAACATTATATCATCCTTGGATTAGACTTTTAAATATATGAAAAAATGAGTCTTTACTGGCAAAATGAATCCTCTTTTTAGTACGACATCTAGTCTAAGATTTATTAGAATGTAAGATGTATCGTGATTTTTCACCAACTTATCTTAGAGTTAGTGAACAGTGTTAATAACTGAAAGTGAGCAGAGACCAAGGGCTTCGCTTGATGTGTTGTCTAGGGGTGAGGAGGGGAGACTCTACACAGCATGGCGGAAGGTTGTGGCTTCAGGAAACAAAGAAAGCTTTTTCCTCTTGTTTCCTGTTTTCACCCCTACCAAGGTCAGCCCATTTAATAAAATGATCATTATTATTAATATTACTTACCACTTCATGTTCTGTCTTTTCTGGGTAAACTGCTATTGTCTTTTTAAACATTTCATTATGCAATTTTCACCAACCCTACAAATTACTTATACTCATTTTATAGAACAGGCAATTGAAGCTCAGAATGGCTAAGTAACTTTCCAAAGTTATACAGAATCTAGAGAACAGAGCCGGGATTTAAGCTAACTGCCAAACTCTCTAAAGTAGATCCACTTCTCTGCCCCCGCTTTCCTCCCCCGCCCAACTCACTATGCTATGCTGTCACTAATCCTGACTCCCTGACTCCCCTGTGGGACTCACAGTAAGTCTCTTTTCCTTCATGTAGCAGGTGCTGTCATTGCCCTGCCCTGTCCCCTTGGCATGTAATATTCCTATGCATGCTAGCCACACTTCTAATTGTTAGAATCTGAACCTCTGCCTGAGGACTCTCTCCCACCTCTAGGGCCAGCTACCTGCTCTGTCCCAGCACAAGTTAGGTCAGATGCTCCAAGGAATTAACAACCCCCAGGAGTAACATTCAACTAGTGATTGATGGGAGTTGGTGGACAAATACTCCAGCTCCCCATCTTTGGGCAGGATAACTCTGAGATGCTTGCTGTGTATGGACAGAGGGAGAGATTTATTGCTCCTGAGAGTAACAAAGAAAGAGAGGCATGAAGAGCCAAAGAGAAGAGGAGGAAAGAGGGAGAGGGCCTAAGACTAGGTGAGAGGAAGGATAAATAAACAGAAATTCACTGGCTCCAGAGTTCCTCAATGGCATTAAATTCCAGTTTTATACAGTGGAAACTTGCTTGAAAATATATCCTTTAACGGTTTCCTTCACTTCTCATCTCATTTTCCCAACACCTATATTAATTATTTGCATTCAAATCCTTGTCAGGATCTACTTTTAAAGGAACTAAAACTCTTCATATGTTTCAAGTTCTTAACTATAAAAAGTGAAGGTGTTATAGGAGATAAATTCAAAGAATTCTATAGTTCTCTTGTATGATAGTAAGTGTAAGCCAGACATCTGTCGGGGTCTTCTTGTCTCTTATGAGCCAGATAAAATGAGCTCAAAACTATCATCCCTAAGTTCATGGCCATAGAAGTCCAAAGTCCCTTCAAGAGTTCTGAGAATCCTGAAGGACTGAAGCTTTTTTGTCACATCAACCTCTTGTGCTTCTGCTTCTTTAATTACTCTAGTCTGTACCAAGCAAACCGAGACAGGATCTCAACTTCTTTGAATCCTCTTAAAACAAACAGCAAACGAAAACAGCTTCCAAAAAGCATTTGTAGCTTGGTGAGACTTTAATGAATTTCTGAAGAGAAGATGGAGTGGATTAGGTTATAGGAACACAAATAGCTACAAGTAGAACCGCACTTATCACAATTCTTACAGTGTCCTTTGAGGACCCCACCACTGAGAAGTTTATTGATCCTTCCCCTCACCTAGTCTTAGACCCGCTCCCTCTTTCTTCCTCTACTCTTTGGCTCTTCATGCCTCTCTTTCTTTGTTACTCTCAGGAGCAATAAATCTCTCCCTCTGTCCATGCAACTTAGCTTCTTTCTTCTGGAATGTTTTGGAACGTGGTTGTCATCTAAGTCTTAGTACTTTGCTTATATCACATGGCACAAACAATGACACTTTCCTACTTAGGAAGAATTCTGATTGCTTGGCATCCCTTCCCTCTCCCCCCACCCCTTCTCATGTAAGTTGGATATAGCTCTTTTCTTTCTCTTCCTCTAGTGGGCACTGCTGTTATCTCTTTGACTTATCAGAACAGGGATCCTGAACTGATTTTCATTTTTTTCTAGTACAACTTCTTTCTCTCTCCATGTGGCTAATGTCTTTAGTTCTCTCTTCCAGGCAGTCCTTTCTCCTGGTCTCTGCCTCCCTGTTACTATGTGATGCCTTTCTGAAAGTTGCAGATGGCTTCTCACTGTTCCACAGGTAATGTACGTGATGGTCCTTCAAAGTCTTTCTGAACTCAGAAAAAGAAGTACACACTAACTCCCAGTGGCTTCCCTTGGCTGACTATACTACAACCTCCCTGCAGTTTCTAATCAAACCTTAATGCTGATATTATTATCTCCTAGCTGTCAAATTCATGCTACGTGGGTTGGTTTGTCTGCGCCCACCGAGAAGCAGGCACCAAGATGGGATGAGGCATGCCAGACATTTATTGCTGGAAATGTCTGTGACAGGTAAAGGTGAGGAAGGAGGAAGTAGGGAGAGCCTTCAGACCACGATGGAGGTCTTACACCTGTGGAAGGATAGAGGGAAGGAGGGAGGATCAGGTATGAAGAGTCTTAGACTGCAGCACAATTCTGAGAATGTTTTGGCTAGGCCAATGGGGAGTCCTCAAACAGAAGCTGTGTTAGAGGGGTCACAGATCTGCAGCAATGGGACAGCACTAGTGCCCTAGCTATTCTCTGTCACTGTCTGGGTGTAGGTTGAGGGAAGTATGGTCTTGGTGAACGTAGTGGTGGATCTCTAGGGCAGCAGGCAGCTGGCAGTGATGTGGAATCCCTGCAGCAGGACAGCTGAGGGGTGCATTTCAATGGCTACCACATTGGGCTTATGCAAACACTTGTCTTTCTAATGGTACATTGATTTATTATTTTTTCCATTATCTGGGTAATTAATACACCTAACAGCAGAAGAAAATCTTTAGAAGGTGAATATTATCAGTCAAATAATTATGTATAATAAGGAATTAAAATGATTTGATGTAGTAATTTTGAGAACAACTATTTAAATTTGATTGATTGCATCCTTGGGGTGGTTTTAACTTGATCCTCTGTTCCTTATATTTCTTGTTAGGGGTAAAGGCTTAATTAGATTTGGATTCAGTTTCTTAGGCAAAAAGTGGTGCTGGGTCCTACTGCTTTTGTCATATCATGAAGCACATAATGTCTGGATATCAGACTTGCGGTTTTTAGTGGTTTTCCCCCCTTATTTTAGTTGTTATGTCTCTTCGGGGAGATTCAAAATGATGCTACTTTTATTTTTTTTTCCCAACCAAAGCAAAAAAAAATCTGAATTTATGTGGATAAAATAAGCAGGCAAAATACCAGTGGTTCTGGATTCTGAAACTCTTAGATAAGTTGTATTTGAAGAAGTTTCTCCTGCTTCATACACAAAAAATTGACTGGATAGGGAAAAAATGTATAAATTATGAATATTTAAGAGGGATTACTGAATTCAAAATTACAAAATGTACATCACTAATTACTATATCTAGGAGCTTCACTATTAAGAATCAGGATGATAATAGCTGAAATTTAATGAGTCATTGCTAATTATTCAGCTTATAGATTTCCAATGCCATTTGCTTTTAGCCTTTCTCCTCTTCCTTAGGGAGTTTTTAGTGGTATTTTACTGCCTTTTAACACCTCCAGACACTATCGTATGCTGGTAACTGACCATAAATTGTACATGTGGAGAGACACATAAGAGATTATGAGTCAGGATTGATGCTGTGCTACTGACTGAGATAAACCATGAGCAGTTTGCACAACAGTTGAAGATTTTTCAGGGACAATGCAGAGCAGAATGTAGTTAGAATTCTTCTGACTACCTAGCATGTTCTCTATGGCTTGTTGAAGGAACAGAAACCTAAATCAAAGGTCAGTGTGCCCACTGAAGAAAGAGACAGTGTATGTTGTATCACTACACTCCTTAGGTGCTAGATGTGTTCTGCTATGGGTCCACCCTGGTGGGTTTTCAGCCCTGACTGCGCTTTGGAATCAGCTTGGGAGCTTTTAATCTTGCTTATGTCCAGATTCAACCCTTGTACTGAATCTGGGTTTCTGAGGGTGGGCCCCAGGCATTGGCATTGGTAGTTTTAAACAGCTCTCAGGTGATTCTAATGTGCAATCAGGGTTGAAAATCCCCAACTTAGTCAGCAAATAAGAGGTATCATTTACAGGTCTTACTGTGCACAGAGGACTGTACTGAAAATCTCTAGCACATAAGGAAATTGATGCTTGGAGAGATGTTATTTGCCTAATGTCTTGCCACAAAGCAGAGTTTCACACAGTCTATTTGACTTAAGAACTAGAGGCTTTTGAACATGACCCCAAGACAGACATTTTATTTACATTATGACTCAGAACACACATGATAATGAAACACAAGTTTAGCAATACTTAATCTCATTAAGTATGATGCACTCCGATATCTTATTTTGTTTAATTAAAATGATACTGGTCAAAACCCAGTAAAATGATTTCAGGACTTGCAGTTTGAAACACTTTCTAGACCATAACAGTACCGGTTTCCTTTCTCTTTCAACAAATGGCAAAATATTTTCCCCATCAAAGACTTCTCCTCATTTTGTTTGTTTTCTCATCTGAAACGCCCCTTCTTTTTTTTCTCATTTTTGAAAGGCCATCAAGTTGCTTCCAAGACTACTCTAGCCCATAGTGCCCCTTATTCTGATGCCAATTTTTAACATACAGAGCTCATCAACACACTTTTTCTACACAAATTATATGATATATTGGGATACTCTGTAATTGACATATCTTAGACAGTTATGTCTCCTTGACCAAATTGAATCTCTTTGAGGACAGTGACCACGTTCTATGCTCTTCCTTCAGTACTTTTCGAAATGTCTAGTATGAACTATGCATACCGCAGATGCTAAAAACAGTTGTGACCCTACACAAGTCAACCTCTGAGCTTTCATTTCTTCATCCCTGAAATGAAGGTATGTTTTAGGTTATTCTAAAATCTCTTCCAGGTTTATGAATCTATTTTTCTATTATATATAAGGACTTTTGTAAAATGCACAAATGAAGGGAAAAAATATGAAACTTTTTATTAACAACTACAAGAAAAGCTGTTATGTAGGAAGAAAAAATGCTGAAACTGGCATTTTTAAAAAATGTGTGTGTGATTTTACTTATTTTAAAGGAATTTATTCTTAATCAATATCTATTGATTGTACATATTTATAAGCTACAGAATTATATTTCAATACATGTATACAATGTGTGATGGTCAAATCAGGGTAATTAGCATATTCATCATCCCAAAACTTTATCATTTATGATGAGAACTTTTGATCTGTCTTCTAGAGTTTGGCATTTTTGGTAGGTAAAATATAAACTCCTCCATGTTATATCTGAAAAGATAAAGAAGTTGTGCCCTGTGGCACTTGGATACCAAAATGTGATTATTCATGGGCTACATTTTTCCCCCAGTTGAATAAATAAATAATGTATATATTTAAAAAAAAACCAAGCAATTTCTACAGACTCCTATCAAGTTAAATTGATTATGTAATAACACAAGGCCCAACAATGAATGTGGGGTTAGGGTATTTGGAAGGAGAGTTATCATAATTAAGGAAAAAAAAAATCACTGAATACAATTACATTTTAGAAATTGTTTGTCTGCAAATGATTTGTTAAACATCAGAGAGGAACTTCCCAGTATCTCCTGAGGCCAAAGGACTTCGCAGTCTGTTTTAATTACCTGCAACTGCATGACCATCAGCATTCTCATTGCTCTGACTCTGAGGCTACTAACTAGTAAAGGAGCCAGAGAGGTAGTCAGTCCCTTTGGTGGTGGGGTGTGTGTGTGTGTGTTGGAGAATGGGGGGTTGCAGTAGGTATCTATGGTCTTTATCTGTTCAATGTTCCTTCCCCTTCCTTGTTTTAACACTTTAATTTTCTTTTGGAGAAGACTCTTCCTTTCTACTTACTCCTTGTGGTTTGGTGTGTATGGAGGATGGGGCACTAAAGCTATTTCCCTTGACCTTTTTCAGACACAGGTAATGATCCCAGCCTGGCAGTGTACATTCCACCCCCTGGTTACAGTGCTTAGTTCAGGGACGAGCACAGGATCCAAGTAAGTCCAGTGAGACTCATTCCTTGGCCTGCTCTCTTTCTGATAGGATCATTTGTTAAGAAGGTTGGATGTAAACCTGGAGCTATAGGTCTTGCCTGCTTAGAGAAAATAGAACCAGTGCAATGAAAGCACAGCTAAGATATGGTGAGAAACAGTCCTGACACTCTGAGTATCTGGAGGGGAAAAAATGATTTTTAAAAACATTTTTTTTTGCCTCTATTCTTGGGATTTATAAACATATGAGCCAATAAATTCCAGCCCTCTCTGCTGAAGTTTTCTTTAAGTCAGTTTGAGTTGGGTGCCTGTCACATCCAACTATCCTGATTGTACAGCAGTTTATCATAAAAGCAGGATATCTTCACTTTTGCTCACTGCTAACCTCCTTTCTCATGTTAAAGTTTGGTCGGGAGAGGACCAAGTCTCCTGCTTTTATAGAGTCGGGGGCTTACTTCCTTTCATTTGGTAACAGAAATTGCTCCAACCTTTTGCATATTATCTCCTTGCCCTCTGCCTCCACAGGTTCAACACGGGTGCGGGTGCGTGTTTCACAGCTGCAGGTGGCTGGAGGGGAAGAGTTGAGATGCTCAGGTTTAGTCTCAGGCCAGTGATGGCCCATAAAAGTACCTTTGTGTGAATTAGAAAATGCGACTCCCTCTGAGCCCTGTGCTAGAAACAGTGGTTTGGATCACAGGCTGGGTCTTAACCCCAAATTGCTTGCCCACCTTCATCCCATCTTCACCTCAGCCAGAGGACACAGATGCAGCGTAGAAATAGCACAACACTAAGGCCTCATAGGACTAAGAAACGAGGGTTGGAGCTATGAGGTAGAAAAACAAGCGGGTGGACAGTAGCAGACTCTCTGCTTCTCACACTGACTATTCCTGTGGTCTCTTCCTAGGGTGATGGTAGCTGGTGATGCTGGGAGCCTTCTGGCATCCCCACTGGAGGCTGTGGTCTCAGCAGTTATCACAAATGTTGCTGATAGCTGGAAAAACGGTATCACTTGTCCCTTGAAAGCAGCATTTCCCAGTATAGCTTATACCTTAAGGCAGTATCTTTTCTGGAGCACCTGCCTGGGTTCAGTTTGGCCGTCGTTACAGACAATTTTTGTTGGTGAGTCAAGGGTTCTAGAAATCCAGTTGGAGGCTACTTGGCAATTGGCCCTTGGAAGAGAACACAGCACGGAGTAAGGCAGGGCATCTGGCAGGTCTCCCAAGCCACAAACCAGTGACACCGTCAGGGGTCGATCTAGGGGCCCCAGCTGATCTTTAGTTATTTCGGCCTCCTTCATTCCTGGGTGAGACCCTCATCACTAAGTTGGAGACGAGGAAGAATAATCAGGGAGGAAACGCAAGCAGCCTTGGGAAATGCAGTTCCATTGGGCAGTAGTCGCCAGAGGTGTGCACGGTCTTTAGGGGCGCGGGGAAGGGCAGCGCCACGATGAGGTCAGGAAGCCAAGACCCTAAAAGGGTTGTGAGAGGTTAGGGGCAGGGACCAGGTTTCTTGGACCGTCCCGGGGCTCAGACCAAAGGCCAGGGCTGCCCACGTGCCGGATCCGAGCACTTGTCATACCCTCGGTACATTTGCCCAGGCGGAGGGACGACCCAACCTTGGCCGAGGTGCGGGGACTGGAGAGAGCAGCCAGAAAAGGGCCAGCGACCGGCCCCAGGACAGCCTGGGCGGCGGCCTCCCGGGATCTCTCCGTCTTTATTTGCCCCTTCTTCCCTCCTCTCCTCCCCCTTACCTCCCGGCCTAAAACGGGGCCGGCGCCTTTAAGAGGGAGCTTTGGTTACCCTGGGGGCGGGAAGCCCTCTGCAGATCGCGAGGCGGCGGCTCCCGGCCGCGATGCTCCTCACTTTCTGCTCCAGCTCCCGTCGCCGCCGCCGCCGCCGCCACCTCCTCGTCGTCCCCCTCTGCCCGCAAGCGTTGTTCTCTGCAGCGGAGGAGAGAAGTGCTATGTCAGGAAAGTTCCGGGAGGGACTGGATGGGGCCATGCTCCCGGGGCTCTTCTGCAGGCGCCCGCGCGCTGCCCTTTGTATGAGGTGAGACCGGGGGACCTCGGCCCCAGCACAGGTAGCCGCCCCGGGGAAGGGTGTGCGGCTTGGCGGAGTGCCTGGGGGAGATGAGGCTGGAGAGACCGAAGTTGTGCCGGAGAAGCTCGGGTTTTCGGGAAGATTTCTGCAGCTGGAATGGAGTGGTTTCAGCAGCCGGCGCCACACGGTTTCTCCGGGAGCCGCCTCTCCTCCCGACGCCGCCTGCTCCCACCCCCTGCCCGCTAAAGCAGCCAGGCCTTCTAGGAAACCGGCCGGCTGCGATGGGCACCCCACGCCGGATCGTTCCCTGCCGGGCTCCTCTCGTCCAGAAGCTAAGTGCTGGGAGTGAGAGGAAGGGATGGAATCCTCTCAACTTTTGCACTGTGGTCTCGCCACTCTGAAGGGCTGAGACTCACCTCGGTTGCTCGTTTGTCCAAGTGGAAGGCTCCTTGCGAGCTCCAGCAGTTCCGAGAGGTGCCCTCTTCCATGTGGTTAAGCTCGCGGCGCTGTTGTCTTTCAGCCTTGGTCGGGTTATAGCGTCGCCCTGATTTTAGTTCTCCTTCCCCCGCCCCTTTTTTGCAAACATTCTTTTTTTTTCTTTTCTTTTCTTTTCTTTTTTTTTTTTTTAAAGAAAAAATATCTCGGAGGCTCAGGGTGCTTTAAAAAAAAAAAAACCAAACCAAAAAACAATAAACCTAACCACCTATCTTTATGAAAATTTAACCGCAGGGCTGGCCCAAATTTTCAAAGTGATCGTTTAGTCTTTGATGAAATATTTAGACTCATTCTCAACATTTGTGAAAGACAGGTATCCCCGCAGCAGGATGCAGTTTTTCTTCAGTGAGGTAGGATGAGGTTTTAACTATATTCTTAAGAATAGGATTTTCGCTTTGATTATTGGTGAATTTGTTTTTTCATTATGTCTTAGATTAAGAAGGCTCCAACTAATTCTAGGAGTAGTATTTCTAAGACTCATACGTAAAACCTGATGTTTTTTGCACAATTTGACATTGCTAAAAATTTTATCCATGGATAAGATGTAATACGTGTAATTATTGATGAAACCTAATATATAAGTACATTTATTAAACAAATAGGTAAGTTTTCTTTTTCCCTGTTCCTGTGGGTGAAGGAAGCCCTATTTCTCACACCCTCTGTCCCCTGTTCTGTCTTCTCCACTCACATTGTGCACATCTGATGTCAGCTACCAATCAAAGGTGCTGAGGAAAAGGCCATGTATTTTGTGAAGTATTGCATAGCCAAAATTTTAGTGACATAATTGGTTATATCATCCAGATAATTTTGAACAATAAAAAATAAAATGCGGGAGCTATTTAAAGAGTGTCATGAAGTATTTCAAGTAAATTCTCAGGGATATGCTTAACATATAATTTTAAGTGTGAAAAATCCACTACCAAAATAGGGGATAGTGTGGAGAAAATATTATTTGCAATGGAGAAGTCTTGAAAGAAAATCATTCCAGAATAACCATTAATATTGTAAAATTTTGTTTGGGATATAGATTTTCACCTCCAAGTACAATTTATCACTTTACTGTCACATATATGAGAATTGAAACTTTTTAAAAAGAAAGAACTCAAATTCTCAAGCATTTTCTGAAAATTTGCAGCAAACAACGTTCTTGGAGAAAAATTTGTTTAAAAAGTCACATACTTAAAACCTTAACTGTAGTTACCATTTTACCTTAAGTTTGCTGCACTCCAGGCAAGAAAGTTAAGAATTTGGGATTCTAAGGTAGATGTGAGTTAGTTCCTAGAATTGTACTGATTAATGCGAGTACCTCGAGATTTTGTATATGGTTTATTCGATTTGGGGTGATTGTTATGTGAATGATTCTTTTTGAAACTGTATATATATTTATATATCAAATATTTATACTTATTTACGTTTAATACATATACATTTTAAAACTATATATATGCATATATATGTGTGTATAGATGTGAGAGTATTTCAAAAAGTTTGTGGAAAGATTCATATTTTTTAATTGTTTTTTACCACAAACTTTTTGAAGTACCCTCATGTATGTGTACACACACATATACATACATATGGACTTATATATATTTATATCCATATCACACATATATTTTAGATGTAAGAGGGAAAATCATCCAGGGACTTGATAATACATGTGCACTAAGAACAGCATGTCTACAAGATCGGAAGCTGAAAATAGTTCTTGTTAGGGTTTGTCATCTCTTTAGCATTTTAGTCCATAACAGTCAAGTTGAAAAATATTGCTTTCCAACACGTTCTTGAACTCTTAAGAGGCTTGGACCAAGGAGCCATATGCTGATGATCCTAACCACATATTTATCTATTAAAATGGAGTGAATTACCCCACCAATGGATGATCAGACCAGGTGTTTCTTAAGCTTCAGTAATTTATCTTTGGTAGGTGAATCTCTGAGTAAAATTTACCTTGTTGGTAAAGTGTTTTCTTCTTTTAACACTTCAAAAATGACCTTTAGGGAATTCTAGAGAGTAGACCTCAAAAGCATGAGAGGCAAGCAAATCTTGGGGAAGTTCTAATACTCCAATTTGTGAAATAATGTCTTAAGCATTTCATTTGAGAGAGGGGCCTGTTAATACTTGGGAAAATAATACCTATAATACAGTGCTCCAGTCACTACAAGCAAAACAGCCTCATTCACCTTTGGAATATTTCTTATAATATTTCACAGCTGAAGCTGCTACATTTCAGCATATGTATTAAAATTAGAAGTGAAATAAAATAATACTAGACTAATTTTTGCCTTAATTTGCTAGGTATTTATCATAAACATTTATATTTGCTAAAAAGGCCATTTGCTTTGTTGCATGTTGCAATTTTTTTCTTTTTTCTTTTTTTTTTTTACAACTATGATGTGTGTATTTAGGGTGAGTTCTTAGTGTTTACTTGAAAACACATTAATGAGTTTCACAGAATTTACATCATGTCTTTTCAGCTTTGAAAAAATAACATTTGAGATATTCGACTATGAGCCTGAGATCACAGACTTTCAGGGTGGATGGGATCTTGGTCAATTATAGTTTCAGTCATGGGAATTTTCTGTTTAAGATCAGATGTGCCCTTAGTTTGAACTGGATGATCCACAAAGTAGGTACTTCTGCAACCACAAAACATGGAGAACATTCCAAATAATTTGCAGTGTGGGCAGCCCAACATGCTTTAGTGTTTAGTCGGCTTGAGGCAGTGTGCCATGCTTGTAAAAAATGGTTTCTGAAGCTGACAGCAAGCTGTTTCGGTCATTGAATTTGACACAGGATAAAAAGCCTTTTAGCCTCTATGCTAGTACATAGAAACAGGATTGGTAAAAGTAATTTGTGCCCATTTCTGTTTATATGGCAGAGGATTCAAAAAGCTCAAGCATACAACTCTAGCTTAATATACTAGAAAGCTCATTCATATTCATTATAAATGTAACAAAGATTTAGAAAGGTTGGATTTTAACATAGCTCTCGGATTTTCAAAAGAATGCACATTTGCAGTTAGGAGAGTAATCTAGTGGTCATCTATTGAAATTAATAATAGCACTAGTATTATTATCAGTATTTCCTTTGAGTAAAAAGGATAAAGGAATTATATCCTCCCAGGCCCAATTTAGATGAAAAACATCCCCAGACAGATACTGTACCAATCACCTGGCATATATGTTAATTGATTCTTAAATAATTTTCAGTTGAAACTTTTCGATGTCATTATAGTCATAAGTTTTACATATCTTTTGGGGTTTTTGACCAAACTTTCTTGGTTAACTTCTTTTTCTCAATTGATTTACCTCAGTCTGTACCATTAAGGCATTTGAAAAATATTTTAGGAAAATTCTTTGGAAACTTCTAAGGATCTGTCTTGGGGAATTTGGAGCAGATGGGACATGATTCTATATTCTAGCTGTTACCTTCCAAAGGGAGGCATCTTTACCTCTTCCAACATTTTTTATTTTTATTTTTATTTTTTTATTTTTTCCTTTTTGTCTTTTTTCGTGACCGGCAACGGATCGCAACCCTCAGTGTCGCGCCCGTACTGGACCTGGACCGGGACTGGCAACGGGATCGCAACCCTCGGTGTTGCTCCCGCACCTCGCTCAGCCAGTGAGCGGCCGGTCTGTATGTGGGATCCGAACTCTCGGCGGGAGCGCCGCTGCGCTCCCAAGCGGCGCACTGTAGCAGTACGCCACCGGGCCGGCCCCCCAACATTTTTTAAACAAAAACAAATGCATAGATAATTTTAGAGAAAGATAATTTGTAGGCGTTTAAAGATGCCCGAAGTTTGGATTCGATTAAGGACTTCAACTGAAAATTACCTAAGAATCAGTTAACATCTGTGCCAGCTGTTTGGTATGGTGTCTGGATGAGTGTCTGCTGCAGGATTTTGCTCTAAGTTGGTCCTGAGAGGATGTAGATAAAAAGGGAGTTGGGGTGAAAAGGGGCTGTTCTAGGCTCAGCATCTATTGCCTTCCAGAGGGAAAGATGTTTGCCTAAGTGTGTACTTGTAATAAAATCCGTTCTTCTCATCATTTTAGCTTATTTTTTCCATTTCCTCCTGGTTGTGTGTGAAGCAGTCTTTCTGCACCATTTTGATTAACACTGCATAAACCGTGATGCTTTCCAAAGGTTCTTGAATTCTCTCAGCTCATTCCCACTCAGTACTTCTTCAAATGTTTTTCCTCCTTTGGCATTATCCAGTTCTTTAATAATGTATTATCAGTTTTGAATTTAAGCTTTCCCCATTTTCTATAAGTTGGATAAATTTGGGCAAGTTTGCTTTCACTTAAAGGTGTAATGATGTTGGGAACTTATTTTTGTTCCTATATTTCATGTGTAGTTGCTATTGCGGGGTTTTGAGTCTTCTTTCTTTATTCTCATACTATAATAGAAACTTTTTTCTTATTTTGGAAGTGACATGCATTCATTATAGAAAATGTAGAAAATCCAGACAAGCAAAAAGAAAAGGAAAGAAAAATTATGCCTAGGGAAAACTA